CAGGAATGATTTTTCTGTTGATGATGACGGAAATTAATCGAAGAACTTGATTGAAATAATAAAACAAAAATATATTAATATACAACCCAGTGTGTTTGAAAAATTTTTTTAATAATTATTATTATTCAAAACTTGTATATATATAATTATATATATATATATATATATAAAATTATATTTATAGATAATTATATATATATATATAATCATATATATATATTTACATATATATATATTTATATATATATAATTATATATATATTATAATTATATATGTATTTATATATATATACATAATTATATATATATATATAATTATATATGTATTTATATATATATATATATATATATATATATATATATATATATATATATTGTGTGTGTATTTAGGCAGCATTTTTCATCAATGCATGTTCATTAAATAATATATAATTATATATATAATTATATTATATATATATATATATATATATATAATATGCATATATAATTATATATATATATATATATATAATTATATATATATTTTTGTGTATTTAGGCTGCATTTTTCATTAATGCATGTTTCATTAAATAATATATAATTATATATATACATTTATATATATATAATTATATATATATATATATAATTATAGTTATATATATATATTTATATATATTATATTTATATGTATTTATAATTATATATATTTATTTATAGATTTTATATATATATATATTTATATATATATATATATATATATATATATATATATATATATATATATATATATATATATATATATATATATATATATATTGTGTATGTTGTGTCTATAACAAAGTGGAAAAGTTTTCTTGTGACGTGGTTCGTCCCTTTAGGACTTCATCGGACTAAATTTGTTGTTACGACTAATCATGTGCAGGAACGATGGATGCTGGGAATTAAAAAATTTTTTTTTTATCTGTCTGATTTCATTTAGATTTTTTTTGTTTTTGTTTCCCAGCCCTTTTGTCATTAGATATGCCACACTGTGATAATAGAAGTTCTGCCTGGAATGGTGACATATTGTAAGAGTCCCGAATTAAATTTTCTGTAGATGGCGTTGCGATCAAGGCACTCTCTAGTCATTCACGTCGGAGTGAATTATTTACTTCCTTTGATAAGAGTGGAATTTTTTATGTCAAAATTGTGGCCAGTCTTTTTCTTACATTTTTCTACAATATGTTGTTGATATATAAAAACGCATATTCTCATCTCTCTCTCTCTCTCTCTCTCTCTCTCTCTCTTACACACACACATATATTGTATAACGATCCTCATTGGGAACCGTATATTTATATATGTTCATACGCATAGAGAGTACCTTGCTGTAATAGTTTATAACACTAAATCTCCTATAATTATGGCCTTGGTGAGTATGTTTTTTGATGGGTGTGAAAACTGGGCTTTTTGGCCTTGATTGGCAACCAGTCTGGAGAAAAACACTCTAAATTCAAAAAAGCGTAGTGAAGTAGTAGCGAGAAAACAGTCCATTATCTGTCCCAAGAACGAAAAGAAAAAACGGAATATATATATATATATATATATATATATATATATATATGTAAGATGGGAACGAATAGAGTACAATTCCAACGTTCGTAATATTTAATTTAAAATAGGGCTCAATACAAAGTAGAGCAATATTATTTGTCTTAGGATATTACACTGATATATATATATGATACACTTACATATATATAATGAAAAACGAACACTTAAAATACCATAGGTGATATTTATTTA